TTTTTTTTTTTTTTTTTTTTTTTTTTAGAAGTCAGCGGTGAATATTTAGAAATTTGTGAAACCCTTCATACACCTTTCCCCTGCTCTTTGCATGTCATACTCTATCCTGCCCTGCCGTTGCCCCTACCTCCCCTGCCCCATACTCCTAGAGAACTCTACCCCTTACCCTCCACCTTCCCCTTCACTCTCCTTGTACTACTAACAAATACATACGAATGAGCATCATTAAGAGTATAGACGATATGAAGATCAGAAATGAAATGAACGAAGTATGAAGATGAAGGATGGACACAAAGACTGTATAAGCTGAAGATCTGAAGTGTGAAATGAACAGGAGTATGAAGCTCTGAAGAGATGCACAGGAGCATACCTTCCCTTTTAGTCTGCCTCCTGAAATAACGTGCACGTGGGCCGTGAAGGCACACGGGGATGTGGGCAGGTGCCGCTCAACCACAATCAACGTGGGCAGCCTTGTGCGTAAGAGGCACAGTAAAAGGGGAGCTGCAAGAACAATGAAAGGGGTACCCCAAGGACAACCAAAAAATTGGCTAATTATAAAATTGCTTTAATATGTTGGACATCTCAAATGCTCTCGTTGTCTGCAATAGGACAAAGACTGCTTTGATTCTGAATCTATTCACCTGGTTGGAATTGGGGCTGTTGTGGGGAAAATCTAAAACACACACACACACACAAAGACAAGGGATGTTGCCCCTGCTTTTCAGCTGCTGTGAATGTGTGGCTCACGGCTGGAGGGAAACCCCAGTGAAGCCAGTTGGTTTGTCTTCCTTTCTCTCTCATGCGCCTACACTACAGTGATCCACGTGCCCCAATTCTAATTTCCCATCGCGAATTATGACAACAGAAGCCCAGAACTGAAGAATTCAAATTCAGTTCAGGCAATTGGGAACAGGCTTGTGGAACTATTTCAGAATTTTCAGGTTGTGCCCTTTCCGGAATTAGAGCCTCCTTTAATGCAGGGCTTCTTCTTCTTCTTTCTTCGGTTCAAATGGGCACCCTTTTCTTTCTCTTCCTTTTTTTTTCAGTACCTACACTAGGCACCCAGAATCCCAGAATCCCAAAATCAGCGGCCAGATCCACTCCTCCTGATCGAAGAACTCCATCTGGCCGCTCAGTTTGCTTTTCTGTGATTTTGAGAGCCTAGTGTGAGTATAGCTCCTAACATTTGCAATTTTGCACCCAATGCATCCAGATTTGAACTGAACACCTGTTTCCCAGCAGCCACGTGGCCAAAAGGCCGTTTCGCCTTACTTTTTTTTTATTTTTACGTTTTTGAAAATGGAGAGAGATGAAAAAAAAAAAAAAAAAGGAAATCATCTGCAGGAAGAGAAAAGTAACACCACTCCTGTACACTCGTCCCCACTACTGTTGTCACCCAAATAGAACGCCTGGTAATTATAGTTGTATCTGGAGTTCTGGACAGAAAAACCAATCAAATAGGGCTATTATAAAAATGACCGGGCATTCTCTTGGGGTGAAGACCATAGGGAAGGTTCCATTATTCAGATATTAAGCACAAGTTGCTATTTTTGGAATGATGCGACACTGCTGTGTCTCCGCCATCATTTTACCTTATTGCGGGGAGCCCACCCGAGCTACTCTCTTCTTGCAGATGTCATTCTTCTTTTTTGTTCAAAACTACACTATGTTCTTCTCTCACATTCTTTTTGCCTTTCACTATCGTGATCATTGTGCAAGAAGAAAAGAAGAAAAAAGAAAAGAAAACAAAGAAAACAGAATCCAGATCGGGAGCTCTTTGGGGTAAGCAGTGAAGCACCCATTTGTCAACTTGTAAGGGGATCATTGCAGTCGATAAATTCCGCAATCAATTGGGAGTTGTGCAAGAGAATGTGATATTGTACGGAAGGTCAGGGGCAATCTAAGAGATAGATGGAGATGCCATTACAGAGGCCAAGGAGGAAATTAAGGGAGGTAATTTGCTGGGGAAAAAGATGCTCCCGCTGCCGTGGTTGTTGCTGCTGTGGCAGCTGCAGCATGGTCGTTGCTCTTACCTTGTGCGCGTAATAACACGTGTGCTCTGTGGGAGGAATCTGTGAGGGAACTGTGCTCTGTAGGATGCCCCAAGCCCTTCTCTACTCCTTGTCGCTGCACGAACAGGACCCAAGGGCCTTTTTTCCTTTTTCTTTTTCTTTCTTTTTTTTTTTTTTTTAGAGCCCGGATTCTGACCCATTGTGGTTGCCGTCGTAGGAGCGCCAGAACCGGAAAAGGTTTCCAGGAGGCCACCCTTCCTCAGCTGGTACTATTCCGGCGTGCGCGTAATAACGTGTGTGCTCTGTAAGAAGAATCTGTGAGGGAACTGTGCTCTGCAGGGCAGCCCCACGTCCTTCTGTACTCCTCGCTGCTGCAGGAGCAGGACCCAAGGGCCTTTCTTTTTCTTTTTCTTTTTTAGAAGTCCAGGTTGTTGTAGAGCCCAGATTCCGACCCACGGTGTTTGCCGTCGTAGGAGTGCCAGAACCGGAAAAGCTTTCCAGGAGGCCACCCTTCCTCAGCTGGTGCTATTCCGGCCATGCTGAAACGCATGGCTTGAAGCTCTCCAAGTTGTAGTCCACCAGGCTGAGCCTACTGTGAGGAGC